TTTTTTTTTTTTTTTTTTTTGAAACAGCAGGGCCACCGACCATATTATTATATAGTGCGTGCCACCACACGAAGATTTTGTTATACATATAAGTACATCCGTTGATGTCCTATGGCATAGGCTATGTTATTAAGGGACGATTTCATYAACATAAAATCGTATATCTATTAAATATAAACATTGTTGTACTCTAATAGTTATTGCAGACCATTATTAAAATATTTTCCGATGTAATATTACTTACGATTTACGTTTTTTCGGCACTCATCTTAATCCAACATTCTAATTTGTAACCCCTGAAATGTAGGATATAATAATATAGCTAATGGACCGTCTTGYTACGACCATATAACCATATTAAAGTAATATTAATATAATTTAATATTTTACATCGAAATGTCTTCGCTTTGACAAACACGGTATTGTCGGCATAATAATATTGTTTAAATCTCACAGTATTTTTGTAGGCGGCCGGAAAACAAAATCCTATCTACGCATCACACACGCGCGCACTAAACACACGTGTGTTAGAGTTCCATCGAGATTATAATATTATTAATCCATCACAATGGATATTATTATAATATTATCATATTTGTACCTTCTTATATATACATGCCGCATTACTGCAAACTGTGCAGCAAAAAATGCTGGATGTGTATCCGGACGCGTTTATAATATTCTCATCGGTTCGCAGACTTCGAAAAACGCGTATACAGCCGACATATTTGCTAAATATGGATGGCATTGTGTGTAGTTGTAGTCGGATTATTATTTCTCGATATTCGTATTTCACCTCAAAATTCCGTCAAGATGTCTGGTGTACGGGGTCCGGTTTCCTGTCGGTGACGGCGGGCGGCGAGTCAAAAGACGTACGACCGCGTGTTTGTACAATAGGGCCGCTGCAGAAGGTCGGTCTTTTTACGACCCAAACTGAACTGATAGACCGGCAGGAGGGGAGACGGCGGGAGGGGTGATGGGGATGGGGGAGGAGTATTGCACACACACGATCGGTGCCATGTGTAAATCGTTTACGAACAGCGTGCACACGGACGGTTACCACCAGCCTACCGAAAAGTTATAACCACAGAGAAAAGATTCAATCTGGACAACGTCATTATGCTATTGTTTACGGAGAAAAAATATGTATATATACGCAGTACGACCAGTACGTATACGACGGATGGCTTCTATATAATATATATATATTCACACAAAAATACAATATTAGTATTTTAAACATGTACAGGGGGAAAAAACATTTAAAAAAATAATCCCTAAAATAGGCGTGTAAAAAATAAATAATCAACGAGTATTGTGCATGTAGCGTATAAAATAATATAAAAAATGGATAACTATATATGTATATATATATATATATATAAAATATGTACAATTGTTTATTATTGTAGACAACCCTTCTTATTTCGCGTTGAACCAAGGACTGCGGAAGGTAGTCCCGCTGGTTGATAGGCAGAGGATGGCTAGGAACAAAACAGAGACGGCATCAATGGGCAGGACCAGAAAGGCAGATAGGAGCGGTAACAAGTGCCTAACGAGGTCCTTCAGCGCTAACATTGAAGAAGCCAGATTACTGGTGATGGGACAGCCCAGGCCGGCAGACGTAGCACCCTCAGTTAAGCACAGGAGACACGCAAGCACCGGTCATAAGGTAAGGTTTTTATTTTTATACTAACCATAATTCAAAACCAAAGATTTAGTCATATTTTAAGTTTTAAAYACATATATTAGAACTATACAATATAATACCTATATATGCGTATAAAAATTAATAAAAATTTAAGTTTTCATAAATCACAATCTATAAAACTAAAAAATTAGAAGCAACTTTTTGAGTTYTTATAAAATATAAATAATCATCTAGACTACAAAATGAATCCACTTTAAATTTTTCAAAAAAAAAAACAATGCTATTTTGACTGATAATCATCATAAGTAATAATATCTTTAGATAAATCGACGTTTGAGGTAAATATATAATAATATTATGATTTATATATGATAATATAGGTAGTAGATTTAATTAGGTAATATTTTATCGATAAAAAAATAAATTGTACATTTTACCAACTTTTTTATTTGTTTAATTTTTTACCACTCAAAATTATATGCTYGATTGATTTGTATTTGATTAGGATTTTTTTTAATATGGTTTCAAATTTATTATCAGCTCCCATCAAACGATTAACCGCATATTATACCTWCTAAGAATAAGCTGTAGTTAAAAACTTTTTTATAATATATATATCGTACAGTAATATAAGATAATATAAGATATTATTTTGTAGACACAATATTTGTCTTGTTCAACTTGTATTTTTATTGTACTGWAGTGTGTGTGTGTGCCCACTAYTATGATATATTGATATACTATTAAGTATCTATTCCAACGTGATATAAAGCCAGCAGGAATAATGATAACATCGACTATTGTTTTCCAAGCATAATATTTTATTAACCACTTGATGATTATTCAATCATTAATATTGTTTAGCGACTTTAATTCATAATATATATATTATATACCTAATCGTAAAACATCATAGCTTATAAAATAATATTATAAATTCGTATATAAAGCTTATTTATATAATATATAACTAATATTTTGTAAAGATCTGTAATAAGTAAATATATACWATAAAGGTTCTTGAACAAATAGGGTGCGTGGCGYGTTTACAAGTAATAATCACACAAATGACAGTTTGGGATTTAAGGCCAATGATGCAACAGAGTCATTTTAAACATGATTTTACGTCACTGTTGCACAAGTAAGACAATTGTCTTTATACAAATATTAAATATGATATTTAAAAAATATTAAAATTTCTTTCAAAAAGGGTTGGTTTAATTTATGTAATATTCTACTATAATGTATAATATTTATACTAGATTCTCAATTATTAAATTGCTAATATTGATGTG